GGCCAGGAAGCCAGCACTCCCTCGGACTTGGGACCACCAGTGTGGGACAAGGAGGGCACAGTGAGAGAAGCCAGTGGTGTGGAATGGAGCAGGTTGCATAAGGTCCAGGAGGGTCCAACTGTACATGGGACTGAGATCAGTCTTGGGCCTTGGACTGTCTCTGCAGAGCCCACAGCAACCAGAAGAGCAATGAAGAGACAAGCATGGTAGGGAGTAGTGTGGGGGACATTCAGAAACCTGCTGGCTAAAGACTGAGCACAGGTCCAAGACCTGGGGGACAAGATCAGCACCAACATCCAATATAGCGCTAATCTTATTGCAGGATTGATGGGATGCTTATATGGACACTACTACAGAAGAGTGAACCAGAGGAATGTTATTGCTTTCTTTGTATGTGTGCCTCCTTTTTATGGTCTAGTTGTGCTTTTGCTGTTTTTGGTTGTTTTAGGTTTATACATATATTTTTGTTATATTCTATTCATCTTTCTCTCCTCAACTATCTCTCTGTATCTTTGGATATCTTCATGTAAGTGATCATAGCCCCTACGCGTTCACGTTTACTTCAATAATTTTTGTTTTCTCCTTCATCTTTTCTCTTCTGCCCTCTTCTCAGCTTCTCAAAGACTGCTCCATCATCTTTTGTGCTTCAGCTTTGCCTTGACTAGATTTCTCTTTATTTCTCTCTTACTCTCTGTTTTATACCTTTCACCTCTTACAGAATGAAATCAGCCTAGTATGGGGAAACTCAATGCATACAAGTTCCTGATTTACGTTGAGTTTTTTATATATATAACCATAGATCTTGTCACTATGGTTAAAGATTCCAAATCAAAAGTTACCACCGTCCACCAGATTCTCAGGCCATGTGTGAAGATAATTACTTTTTCTAATTGCAATACCTTAGCCAGGATGCTACACTTGCAGTTAGTTGTTCTTCCTACCGTAGCAATACTGTGATTATTGGGAATGATAAACATCACCATTGTCCAGTACCAATAGATTGGGGGCTGAGCCCAATAAATGCCAACATCTCATCCTTAATAAACTGGGAAGGTAGAACCTTGGGACAGACACAAAAACCAAGAACCTCCTACACACAGAAACCACCTCTGAAGAACAGGTATTTCCTAAAGAAGCTTCAATAATAGTGATAAAGCTGTCTACAATAAGAAATACACAGACATCAACACAGGAAAAAATGTAATTAAATTTGAAAATAGAAAAAAGACAAGAGCACAGAATCAAAACATGACCCCAGACCTCCACACAAGCCCATACAACTTAAGTCCAATGGACAAGGAGGTGGAAAAAAAAATGGAGGCTATCTGAAATTTCTGAAATGATGGTAGCATAAGTTCACAAATAGTTGCATGAGACTATAGAGAATATAAGATCAGAAATGATCTCCTAGGTATGAAAAGAGATGATGATCACAACGAAAAGCTTACTCAGCAAGTCTAGAGGAGACAGATAAAAAACCAGAGGAATGTAGGAAAATATTGGAAACCACGAATGTTCAACACAAGAAACAAATGTAATCTATGAAACAGATTCAAATTGATATCCAAAAAATTAAAAATTCCATTCATAATTTGCAAAATTGCCTGAAAGAAATGAAAGTGAAGGCAGAATTTCAGACCCAAAAGAAAGGATTGCAGCTAGAAGTCACAAAAAGAAAGAACTCTTATAAGTAGCAAGGGAACCATTAAAAATGATCCAATACCTTCAAGATGATGCAGCGAATAATATAAGACCAGTTGGAGTCAATGAAAAGCGAGGAGCCATCACAAATGACATAAAAAAACTGTTCACAGGAGTAATGGTAGAAAACTTTCAAAGTATGGGAAATAATTTGACGTACAGTAAGGGAGGCATGCAGTATTCTAATTAGCTATGATCAAAATAAATCTGTACCAAGGAATACAATAATGAAGACTCCAGCAAGTCAGCACAAGAACAGAACACTAAAAGCTGTTAGAGAAAGGGGAAAAATCGCTTATAAAGGAAACTCAATCATAATTACAACAGAACTTTCAACACAAACCCTTAAGACAAGAACTTAGAGTAAAGTATTCCAAGTTCTGAGAAAAAATAACTTCCAGACTAGATTAAGGTGCCCTGTAAAACTGTCTTTCAGAATTAATGGAGAAATAAGAAATTTCCATAACAAATAACAGCTGAAGAAATTCATTACCACCAAAGTAGATCTATAATGTGTTCTGAAAGATACTGTAGAGAGAGATAATAATGTGAATGAACACAAGAAAAAATCAGAATGGTTTTCAGTCTCACTTCAAACTCAAGCAAAATTATTGGAGAACTTACAGGAGAATTAGAAAAACTACTCAAAAATATATAAGAAATTTGGGCTGGGGAGATAGCTCGGTGACATAAGTGCCTGCCTGGCAAGTACAAAGTCCTGAGTTTGATAGTGCAGAAAAAAAAATGATTTTGCCCATCTTATCTGATAGACTGCATACTATGTATGTAGACTAACTACACAACTAAAATACTTTTTAGAATACAAAAATTGAATTGCGTGATGCAACAGCAAGCAGAAAACAAAAGTGATTTCACAGTCCATAAACATCCCTTCATAGGTTAATAACATGTGTTAGAGTTACTACAGATACATTAAAAAAGAAAAGATTATTTAATAAATGAACCACTGCATAGAAAAGTTAACACTGAATCTGCATTTAGCAGTGTATGCAAAAATAGATGTTAGTGTGCTAAAAAAAGAACATGAAAGGAGTAAGTTAAAACTTAATTAAAGAGGCCAGGGAGATAGCTCAGCTGCATAAGTGCCTGCCTAGCAAGTGCAAGGTCCTGAGCTCAAGCCCCAGTACAACAAAATAAATAAAATCTAATTAAATAAAATATAACATTTACTGGCCTAGAAACAGAAGCATATTAGAGAAAAAAGCAAAACAAAAGCACAATCATAAAATAAAAATACGTTGATTTAAATTACAACAAGATGAAGGATTTCCATTGTTCAACTAAGGAGCTTATGGATAAAAGGGGTATAGCTTCCTTCCTTCCTTCCTTCCTTCCTTCCTTCCTTCCTTCCTTCCTTCCTTCCTTCCTTCCTTCCGTCACTTTTCTTTGAACTCAGGACCTTTGCACTGAACTATATCCCTACTTATTCTTTTGTTTTTGATGCAGGGTCTTCCTAACTGACTACAATGCCCCAGCTGGACTCGAACTTGGGATTCTCCAGTCTCAGCTTCCCACTGCTGAGATTACAGACTCTTACCACCATCTCTGGTTTTCTACGGATAAAGTTAATTGAGAGGTGATGGATTGGAAATATGTATTTGCAATGGCTCTAACAGAGCAGGACTAATATCTACAGTATACACAGCAACAAGGAAATGGCAGAAAGCCCAAATGGAGAACTGGCAACAGAAAAGAAGATGCCATATGGAGCAGTAGAAACCCAAATGCTTAACAATCTGATTCACACAGGAAATGCTTATTATGCCTACTGTGAGACACACATGCACATAGACAGTTGGAGTGCATCAGTGAACTAGTTAAACAGCCCTGTGGTCTGGGGTGAAGGTAGGAGGCAGGTGATTTAAAGTAAGTTATTGGTAAAGTGTGTCAGGAAAGATGGATTCTTAGGACAAAGCAAAGTGAGGGCTATGGCAGTGGAGGCCAAGGAGGAAGTTCCCTTTAACGAATGGGGCAGTTGTGTAAATCCCATTGAAAAGATGTCAGCTGGGTGGAGTTATCATGAACTGTGATGGAGACCCCGATGACTGGACAGTTTATGATGAAGGCAGGAGACAATCAGGAATGCACTGAGTAGCTCCCGCTCCATAATGAAGCTAGCAAAATAAAATCATGTCGGGGCCAGCGAGATAGGTCGGCAGCCTAAAGCACCGCTTAGGCAAGTCCAGGGACTGCAGTTCAATCCCTGGCACCACATGCCACTCCAGGACAGGCTGAGCTGGCCAGAGTCTGGGTGTGGTGGCTCACGCCTGTAATCCCAGCACTGGGGAGGCTGAAAGCAGGAGGGTCGCCACGGGTTTGAGCTGCATGGTGAGAGCCTGCAACACCCAAATACATTAAAAATAAAATAAAATAATGTCACATCTCTTAGCCTGGAAACATTCAAACCAGGTCAAATATTGGTGAGGTTGTACACATGAGAAGAACCGTTGTGCACAGCAGTGCCAAGTTTAAGATCATTCACCCAAGCATTATCTGTGACCTCACAACTAGAGTCCTGTGTACACAGCCAGAAGGAATTTTCATACAGGGGTTTAGCGCCTACAGAAAATGGTGGTTAGAACATTGCGAACGCCCTGACTGAGTATGAACAATAGTAGTAGATTTTAAACTGCACCGTTACATAGAAAAACACATATGTAATGTGACACTTAACAATATTATGAATTTAAATACATACACATTTTCCTATGTAATTGAAAAATTGAACTCTTTAGAATAGGTGCCCTCAAAGGAAGGAAGAAACAGGTTCAAAGAATGAGATTAAGAAAAGAGCTAATTTTTGAAAAGAAATGAAAGGCCTTGTGAAAGAGAAAAATTTCCAGAAAGAGTACTGTCAGCAGATTAGCTCTGTGCCTGAGACTTCTAAAAATAACTTGTTTTCAGTGTTCTAAATCTCAACTTACACTGCCTTTATATGCTTCCTAAAAGACAACTAACATAGAAATGGCCACATCAATACATCACTCAATCAGTTGAAATTCACTTAACACTTTTAAGGAACTAGGAACTGAATATTGTAAAATCCAGTCATTGTTCTCTGGAAGCTTACAGTGTAGCTCACAAATAGAATCAAGGTGCATTTCAACAGGAGAGACTTTTGGCTTTTTTAAAAAAATATGTTTTATATGGTAGCAAGGCACGGAGGACCGGGCTCTGAAAACAACAACATCTTAGGGGAAAGAATATATCCCTCATCTTCTTTGTCTGGAATATCTATCTTTGGACTGTTGGGAGGATGGAAGTGTTCTTTTGAGTCTTTATCCTGTTTTACTGAACTTTCCTAATACTTTCTGTAAGGCACCGATCACATCCTTGTTCCTCAAACTGTAGATTAAGGGATTAAGCATTGGGGTCACTATGGCGTAGAAGAGGGCAACCATCTTCTCCTGCTGTGCGGCGGAGCCACCCACGGGTCTCATGTAGGTGAAGATGGCTGTGCCGAAGCACAAGGACACCACGGTGAGGTGGGAGGTGCAGGTCCCAAAGGCTTTGCTGCGTCCCTGAGAAGAGCGAATGTGAAGGATGGCGGCAACGATGCGAGCGTAAGAGAACAGGACCAGAACACAGGGCAGCATGATCACCAGGAATCCTGAGAGGGCCACCATGACCTTGTTAAAGGAGATGTCCACACAGGCCAGCCTCAGCACGGCCAGCATCTCACAGGCAAAGTGATTAATGACGCTGTGACACAGCGGTAACTGGAAGATAAAGATTGTCTGCATCAGCGAATTCGTGAAGCCGGCCACCAGGCAGCCAGCAGCCAGGCCAAGGCACAGCCCTCCATGCATGATGATTCTGTAGCGCAGTGGGTGGCACACGGCCACGTAGCGGTCATAGGCCATGGTGCCCAGCAGGAAGAACTCTGTGCTGCCCATGGCTAGGGAGACGAAGAGCTGGAGCACACAGCTGCGGAAGGAGATGGACTTCCGGGATGACAGGAAGTGAGAGAGCATCTGTGGGACGGTGCTGTTGGTGTAAGAGATGTCCACAAGCGACAGGACGCTGAGGAAAAAGTACATGGGCGTGTGGAGCCTGCTGTCCAGCCCGATGAGGACGAGGATGAGGAAGTTTCCCGCCACAGTCAGGAGATACATGGCCAGGAACAGGATGAAGAGGGCGACCTGAGTGTGCCAGTCACTCGACAGGCCCAGCAGGGTGAAGCCACTCACTCGTGTTTGGTTGTCCCATGAGCCTCTAAGGACCGAGCCCAAGTAATCCATCACTCAATAGCAGAGTCTAGCCACACCTGAACCCTTTCTTTCGCCTCCTCTAAGCAAGGAAGATGTTATTAGAATGTCCGGACATTTGAGGGTAAAAGATTAACTATAAATCTTGACTTTCTTCTAGATACCCAATGCCTAACCATGGGGTTTGTTCACTTCTTTGTTGGAAACCAGTTTTCTTCTACTTACACCTCAGAATCCACAATGAATTACTCAGCAGTGACCCCAGTCTCATCAAAGTTTACTTCTCATCTTTGGCATCTCTAATTATGAACACCTTGTGTTCCATTTCCCTTCTTTTATAATCAGAAATTGGGGATGTCAACTGACAAAATAGAAAATTCAATAGATTTTTTTAAGATAGCTCAACAGCATAAGCGCCTGCCCTGCCCAGAAAGCACAAGTTTGATCCCTCGTACTGCAAAATAAATAAATAAATAAATAAATAAGGCACGAAATGTACAAAATTACCTTTTAGAAAAACAGAACACTAAAATCTGAGTGACCATGTTCAGTCTTAACAGAAGCACAAATAAGAAGAATGGAGAAGAATTCACCCAAGGAAGAGGAGAATTCACCCAAGGAAGAGGAGAATTCACCCAATTCATGTTCGTCCTCCTTCAGTAGCATGGTAGAGAGTGGTCTGCAGTAGGGGAAAAAAAATGAAGTTGAACATTACCTTTACCTCTCCTCTGATAAATGATGTGAACTCCAACACGCAATGCAGACATTAATTTGTTACCTAACGGATAGTGAGAGTCCTGCTGTCCTTCCTTGCTGACCCTTCTTGTGTGTATCCCGAACAGGGATGGGCTTGGAGGCCAGGATGCAATGAGAACGAACCCATCAAAATCACTGCTGCATTTCTCGGTCTCATTACTCCTTTCATTCTTATTTCAAATGTATCTGACCCTGTTCTTCATTTGGAGCACTTTGTCTTTCCTGTCTTTGAGCTGTTCTCCCTTGACTGTGACTCCTGCGATAGTTTGCTTTCTCTGGTTCCCGAATTTTCTAATCTCCATGATGTGCTGGTATTTCAGAATATTCAAGGGGTCTGTGTTCAGAAAAGCACTTTGGAAATCTGAATCATCTTGGGTTTTCACTTCACTGAAATCACAAGGGATTTCTAAAAGCCTCACAGACTGGACAAAGTTTACTCTCGGTTTCTCACTCTGTACCTCTAATTACTCTGCACAGTAGACAGGTGACATGGGACCCACACAGCTGTCATGGCCAGATATATGATCTGCCTGCCATCTTTGATCAGGCCCTGTCACTGAAAATGATGAAGATTAGACTTTGTGTTGAATGTCTTCATAACTGCAAGGGCCTCAAAACTGCATAAAGAGCAATAAGGTGCTGGACTTTCACTTCTGGCCACAGACAAAAGTCTGTAGCCCTGTGCACAGGGATCCTTCCCTCATGTGTGAATAGTCCATGTCAATAAATCATGCTACCCAAAGATAACTTGCAACATACAAGGGGAGGTGTTCCTGAGTTCTTCAGCAGTTACTCCAGCACTTCAAATGATGAGCAAGTCATACTGTAATATTTCCAGCAAAAATGGGATACTTACTGTTTTAATCCTTAATGAGGAAGGAAAACTTGAAGTATGAAATCATCAGTAGGGAGTCTCTGACACTGCAGATACA